ATATATATATATATATATATATATATATATATATATATATATATATATATATATATATATATATATATATATATAAATTTAACAAACAGGTTTATAATTAAAAAAAACGAAAATAATAATAAATAAATCAGCGAAAATGATAAATGCAGGACCATAAATGCTGAATGCAGTTTGGCTGAAAATTGCATATAAGGGTAGTATAGTACGTTCGCTTCTCCAGGGGTATGTCAAATGATGATTTGTGCTTGGGTTTATCCCTAGTTTATTTGGTGGCTAGGGGTATGTAAAATAACCACTATAACATATATTATTATTATTATTATATATATATATATATATATATATATATATATATATATATATATACCTTATATATTATACTTAACTTACCTCTTACTTTGGAAACTATCATATACCCTTCTTAATTAACAATGAGTAAATGGCAAATAGGGCCATGACAAGAACACTTAATTAAAAAAAGAACATTCAACTTTTCTGTCTTCCAAATAAATTTAGCTCATTCAAACTTATTTGCAAATAACGAAAACACTTTTACATATACAAAAATTACCTTCAATTCCTTTAAACCCAAATTCAACTCCAATTTCATGATTTACACCCCAATTTAGTCCAATTTCATCAATTAACAAATTTTGACTCGCCACTGCCGATCTCTGGCTTTGACTTTTTTTTTTGAATTCTTTTTTCTTAAAAAAAATTATTTTAATTAATATTACTGTCTTGGCTCCAACAGTAATTTAACTGTCGGAGACAGTAATTTTTTTTTTTGTTTGAATTTTTATTTCTAACAAAAAAAGTTTTTTAATTAATATTACTGTCCTGGCTGCTAAATTACTGTTGGAGACAGTAATTTAACTGTCTGAGAAAAAAAAATTATTTTTTGAAAACCTTTTTTTATTTTCTGAAAAAAATTTCCGGCAGGTCAACTACCAGTCTCCGACGTTGAGTTATTTGTTTTTTTTTTTTTTTTTTTTCCTAAAAATAATTATTTTAATTAATATTACTATCTTGGTTGCGACATTACTATCTCCAACAGTAATTTAACTGTCGGAGATAGTAAGTTAACTGTATTATTTAATTTTATCGTTGACCTGCAATTTTAGTGTCTTCGACCGCGCGTCATATTACTGTCTCAGACCGTAATAGTACTGTCTCCTGCAATAATATTACTGTTTAGGACAGTAATCTTATATATAAGAGAAAGAAATGTTGGGCAACCCTACAATAGTGTTTGTTTAATTATTTATTTTTAATATTTTTTTCTACTAATGTTTTTATTATAATTTTCAACAATTATCAATCTCCTATTTTCCATCAATATATCTCAAATCTTAAGAGATAAAAATAGAAATTCGATTTGTTAAATCTTAATCTATATATTTGGATTATAAATCTTAATATGCAATATTTAAAAAAACTAATGTTATACATAATATGAATAATACTATATTATTAAATTTTACTATGTACTATATTTTCTTATTATGTATTAAATTGATTTTTTTTTTTCACTTTTAAATATAAGTAATATTCATAATATTACTGTCTCAAACAGTAATATTGTTGTTTGTGATAGTAATTTTATTATTTGCTACAACAATATTATTGTTTGGGACAGTAATATTAACAATATTACTCTTTGTGATAGTAATATTGCTGTTTTGGTATTCAATATTACTATTTCAGACAATAACTTTGTTGTTAACACAGTAATTTAGAGAGAAAAAAATGTCAACACGGGAGACCGACGGTCACAGCCGTTTGACCTGCCGGAAAAACAAAAATCAGAAAAATAATTATTTTCTTAAAAAAAATTTATGTTTTTCAAAAAAATATGAAAATCGGGGTTAACGTAATATATTTGTTCAAATTCGGGGTTAACTTGTAATATTGAGGAAGTTAGAGTATAATAGATGAATTTGATAAAAAATATATTATGGAGGGTATTTTAGACGAAACACATAGAAATGAGTTTATTTGTAAGACTGTTTTTCGTCTTGACCTATGTGCATTTAAGTCTTTTGTCATGGGTCTCTTTGCCATTCTCCCATTGACAATTAACTCATTAGACTACTAATGTTGAATATTTTCAAAGTACGACGGGTAACCAGTGATATGTATAATATAGTACAAGGACGAGGATTAAGGTGACAATAAGAGCAAAGTTTCTTTTGGTTATCTTAATTTGCATTAGTTTTGATGATTAACATTAACCATCACAATGTTGATGTGGGTATTGGCATTAGTTTCAATCTCCCAAAAAATAAAATTGGAATTAAAGTGTAAAAAAGAAGAAAATTATATTATTAGTTGACATAAGAAACTATGCAAAGAGGTAAATTTATATAACAATAGATATTTGTCCAAGTTCACCAAACCAAAATGGAATTGCCCATTGCTCCATCCACTATTTCGAAAATAATTTTCCTACTCTCTTTACTTGTCATCACAACAAACGCGCAAAACAATAATCTATATAATTCACTTAGAAAAAAAATTGTTCCTGGCAAAGAGACGTATACGTATGTAAATTGTCGCAATTATTACAAGTCTGCCCTAGTGCAGCTAATTAAAGCGAACACGGTATTTGGAGGTAACAAATTTTGGTAAATGTATCTACTTCTTGCAGAAGAATCGGATCGCCGCCACCTAGAATTAAAAGTGCAATTGATATGTCGGATATTATGTTTAACATTGCTTATGTTGTCATGAAGGAGGCTGATGGCAAGAAAATCTGAATTGAGATTGTTTACATTAAGAACTAGATATTCTATTGCATAAATAAATGTAAACAAAATGCAATATAAATTAGGGGTCTTTACAAATAAGTCCATCAATGGGTACTTATTTATAAAGAGATCAAGACAAAAAACTCATTTACCAATAAGTTCACACATGGTCCAGATTGTTTTAAAGGACTAAAATAACCCCTCATACTTTAATATGCTCCAATTTCATACTTAACTTTATTTAACCTCAATTTGACCCCAAATTTCACAAATTATTCTATTTTGACCCAAAACTTTTTTTTTCTTCTTTTCTATCTTTCTGTAACCTTTTTTCTTCGTTTAAACAACAATGTTACTGTGATTGACAGTAATATTAACTATATTACTGTTAAACACAGTAAAATTAAACTAAACTACAGTTTAACACAATAATATTGCTATATTAATCTCTAGCACAGTAATATTAACATAACAAAACTCATTATTATTGTGTAATAGAGTAATATTACTATGTTGACCGTTCAACAAATGTAAACATAATAAAAAACCAAAAGAATTAATATTACTGTGAGTGATAGTAATATTACTATAACAACAGTAATTTTACCGTCAACCACAGTAATATTACAATAATAGACAGTAATATTATTACGTTACTCCGTGAATAACACAAACACGCAAAAAATCCAAACAAAATAATAATATTGATGCGGTTCACAACAATATTACTATAACAACAGTAATATTACCGTCAACCACAGTAATAGTATTGTGTTTACAGTAATATTACAATAATAGACAGTAATATTATTTGGTTACTCCGTGAATAACTTAAACAAAACAAAAAACCCAAAAAAATAATAATATTGATGTTGTTGACAACAATATTATTGTGTTTACAGTTATTTTACTGTCAACGAAAGTAATATAATAACGTTGACTTGTCAACAAATCAAACAAAATAAAAAAAAAAACAACAAAAAATAAAAAATAATAATATTACATTAATTTACAGTCAACGGCAGCATAATTACATAAATGTATTGTCAATGACAGTACAATTACGTTAATTTACTGTCATTGACAGTATAATTACGTTAATTTACTGTTAGTGACAACACAATTACGGTCGACGTTTAGCGTCGGACGTAAAAAAAAACAAACCAGAAAAAAAAAATACTTAAAAAAACACTAAAAAAAGTCAACGCCGGAGACCGGCGAAAAAATCCGGAAGAAAAGAAAAGAAAAAAGCAAAAAAAAAAAAGTCAACACCGGAGACCGGCGAAAAAATCTGAAAGAAAAAGAAAAAAAAAAGAATTGAAAAGTCAACGCCGAAGACCGGCGTTGACCGGTCTCCGGCGGCAAAAAAAAATTTGTTGAAAAAAAAAAGTTTTGGGTCAAAATTGAATAATTTGTGAAATTTGGGGTCAAATTAAAATTAAATTAAGTTAAAGGATGAAATTGGAGCATATTAAAGTATGCTCCAAAAAAAAGTCAAAATTGAATTTTTGTGGTCAAAATTGGATTTTTGTGGACATAATTGATTAAATTGGGGTTACAATTAAGAATTTGGTATAAATGGTTGATGGTAATATTGGGATATACATGAGTGTTTCCTTTATTTATAATAAATATTAAAGAAATTGACTTATTGGTGAAAGAGATATAGCCCATAAACCTAGAATAATGAACATTCTTGGTTGGAGACTTTATCACAAAAACCCCTATAAATTAATTGCTCATCTTATCCGATCAAAGAATTATACACAACTATGTACAAGTAGTGAAATTAAAATCCACTAAAATTTGCTTAGTTTAGGGAAAAAAATTATGTACATCTTAGTTATACATGCAGATCTACTTAATAATTATATTATGTTGTGTTACATTTTTATACATTTATATGAATTTCAAAAAAAAAATGAAAAATTACTCATGTCTTTTTTGATAAGTAGATAGTTTCCTGTGTAATCCAAACAGACCGAGCAAAACTACGCTTTTGTTATCACATAAAAAGCAAAGTAAAAAGTATAGTTGGAGGACGAGCATGAAGATGACTTTAATAGCAAAGTTTGGTTTTGGTTATCTTGGCATTAGTTTCGACTATAAATTAACATTAATCATGACAATTTGACGGGGTATCAGCATTAATTTCAATATCCCAAAAGAAAAAATTGGAATTTCCCTTAGTTTCAATAAAATCTCAATCAAACAATCAGCCAATTCACCAAACTAATAACAAAGAAAAAAATGGAATTTCCCTTAATTTCTCAATCCAATATTCTGAAAAAAATCATTTTACTAATCTCTTTACTAAGCACCGTCACAGCAAACGCGGAAAACGGTGATATTGATCTATTCTCCGAAGCATGCAGGAGAACGGAAAACACTGAATTATGTTTCTCTCTATTGAAACACGATAACAGGACTAGCAAGGCTACTACACTTCACGATATCGGAGTAGGCACTCTGAGCATGGCGATAGAACAATCAAACTTATCGGTGAAACTTCTAAGGAATTCACTCGGGAAAAAATCTCTCGCTGCTAAAGACAGGCCCCCGTATGTAAAGTGTCGTCAATGTTACACGACTGCCCTTGCGAAGCTAAGTAAAGCACAAACGCAATTTCGGGATAATAAATTTCCGTTCGCAAGAAAAAATGTTGAGAATGCAAAATCTGCAGCTAATGCTTGTGAAGGACTAAGATCGCCGCCACCTGGACTCAAAACTGCAATTGAGGCGTCGAAAATTATGTTAAGCGCTACTTATATCCTCATGCAGGGATAGACGACATGCATGAAGAACTAGATATTCTTTTGCATAAATAATAGAAAATAAAATGCAGTATATATTAATTTGGTGAAAAATGTGTAATGAATTAAAATCCAGTGAAAAATGTGTAATGAATCAGCAACAATTCAATCCATCAATTTATCAAATATAATAACTGTTTATTAGTATTCTTTTAATTTCAGTAAAACAAAAGAAAAAGAAAAAAGAAATCAGCATTCATTTTATCATAAACAATTTCAGCTATGTCTACAATTGTTTCTTCGAATGCACTCATATCTTATAAATCAATTTGGTTTTAAATTTGAAGAACAGAGAAAAAAGAAAAATCTCTTTTGGCCTGTGATCCCAGTCTCTAGTCTTAATTAATAACCTTCTTTTTTCCTATTTAAAAGAGATAAGAAAAATAATTAATATAACTTAAATATAGGGTAAATTACAAACACCCCTGGAGTATGGTCAATTTACAAAAAAAAACCCCTTGTTTGGATAATTACATCTACCCCTCAACTATGGTTTTTTCTCCACCATTATGGTGTCCAATTCAACATAATCATCTAGATTTCGTGGAATGTGCTCTAGTTTGTACTCGTTTTGTGTAAAAATACAGTTTCTGATGCACCACAATCTGATATATGCAAGCCAAAAACCACATATTATGATCATCTTGCTTCAAAATGTAGAGTTCGAATGGGATAAAAAGGGTACAAAAGTGATAATATTCCATATAATCTCGAAGATTCCACTAAATTTGAAGAGTTGAGGGGTGGTTGTAATTATCCAAATAAGAGGGGGGTTTTCGTAATTTGACCACACCTTAGGGGGTGGTTGTAATTTATCCTTAAATATATCTCAGTTAGGTATAAATAAATCCAAAATAAATCGATTAAATCTCAATTAAGGCCCATCTCTAAAAAAAATCTCAATGAAAGCCAACAGAGGAATTATATCAGTTAAATTGCTCCACTATTGAAATATTGATCAAAATTGATTGAGTTGATAGTTTAAATAATTTTTGATTTATTTTGGTTTAAATCAGGCAAAACTATTCTCATCGATAAAACCTCTGCAAATAGAGAGATTAGATGGGGATGCTTATACTGATCACATGAATAGATGCAATATAATCCATAGCTCATTGAGAGATTTTACACATAGAGCATATATTCATGTATTGTGAAGTACTCAGTATAAGTTCCTAGTTTATGTTGTTCGTTTTCAGTCTAAGTTGTCTAGTAGTAGTCTAAGCTCCGCAACTAAGCTGCTGGACAGGAGCGGATCCAGACCCTACTGATAGGGGGCTATAGGACAAAATTAGTAAAAAAAGATAATAATATAAAATAAAAAAGCATTAAAAAAATGACCAAAAAGTTTTTCCTAAGGGGCAGGAGCCCCCCTAAGACACAAGGTGGGCCCCTACTGCCCGGGGAATTTTAAGCAAATTAATAATATTCTGGCGGATTTTTAGCTATACAAGATAGTTTTAATGGAGTTTTAGCCAATTTCACTAATAGAAAAATGGCTTTTTACTACAATTTTTTTTGCTACATTGAAAAGCCGTTACAAAAGGTACATTTTACTACGGGACAAACTAGGAGCTATAGTAAATAATAGGATTTACCGTAGCAAAAAACAATATTTTCTACGGCCGTTTACCATAGCAAAGCTTTTTTCACGTCCGTAATCGTTACGAAAAAAAATCGTAGCAAAATTGTATTAAAAAACTTTTTACTACGGATATGGTATCTTATGCTATGAATTTGTATGGTAGTAAAAAAATATTTTTCTACTAGTATTTTTTGATTGTAAATGCCTAATATAATACTTGCATCTTACTTTGAAGTTATCATATACCTTCCTTAATTAACAGTTAACTCATTTGACTACTAACGGTGATAGTTTTCAAAGTATCAGGGGTAAGGGTACATATGGAATACATAATCAGGGCCGGCCCTGGTGCAGTGCAAGTGGGGCAGCTGCCCAGGGCCCATTATCCTGGGGGGCCCATAATTTTTTTTTTTTAATATATATATGCCTAAACAATTTTGAAGTTGGAAATAGAGGAGGGGCCCAAAATTGATTTCAGCCCAAATTTCAGCCCAAAACACGAAAAAAATAAAAAAATAAAAAAAATAAAAAATAAAAAAGAGAAAGAGACGTTGAAGGGTTTACTGGTGAGAGACCCAAATTTATTTCTTTTTCTTTCCTGCTTAGGGCTTCTACATAGGACTTCTTCAAATTTCTCCATTAATCTTGATTCTTGAGCAATATAATTGTTCAATTCCAACAAACTATCAACTCCTCCAAGGGCATAAGGCATGGGTCAAGATTATTGAGAAGAATTTGCTAATATCAGGTTTTATCCTTCTTTGTTAACTGTTGAATTTTCTTTTTTTTTTTTAGTTTCTTATTTTTGAACTTGGTTGTTGTTTGGGCGTTATTGGCTTGCTTGTTGCAATAAATTTATTGAATCATATATTATAATCATGAAACAACTCTCTGGATTTCAAAAACGAGAAAAAAAGAAAAACGAAGAAGAGGAGGATAAACGTTTAAGAGATTCAATTAAAAAACTTTGGAGTAAGAAGTTCAATGTCACGGTAGAAAATTCAACTCATAATCGAGAGAATGAAAACAATTTGAGTGAAGAATTTTTTGAGAGTGAAAATAATGTGAATGAAGAACTTTTAGAAAATCAAAATAATTCTAATGAAGATGTTAATGAGAATGAAAATGATGTGAATGAAGAACCAAGTTATCTTTTGAATATTTATGACCCAAGAACTTGGGATGGTCTAGATAAAAAAATGAGAGATTTGCTTGTAGAAAATGGTCCTAAAAGAGATGAAAATTTCAAGTTTCCCATGGATAAAGAATCTAGACGTTTTTCCTATACATATTATGTTCAAATGTTACCAAATGGTGAGACTCGCGATAGAAAATGGTTGGTCTACTCAAAGGAGTTAGATAAAGTTTTTTGTTTTTGTTGTAAGTTGTTTAAAGTTATGAACACCAAAAGTACTTTAGCAACCGATGGAGTGAATGATTGGAAACATTTAGGTGCCAAGTTGAAACAACATGAAAATAGCGTAGAGCACCTTACTAATTTAAGAGCTTGTGTTGAACTACAAATGAGATTGAACAAAAATAGCACAATTGATAAAGAATTACAAGAACAAATTAAAAGCAATACAAAACATTGGAAGCATGTTATGTTGAGAATAATTGCCGTTGTTAAATGTCTTGCTACGCATAATTTGGCATTTCGTGGTACACATGAAAAAATTTACGAAGATGGCAATGGCAATTTTTTGGGCATACTTGAAATGATTGCGGAATTTGATCCTATAATGCAAGAACATTTTCGACTAATTCGAGAAAAAAAAATTCATTATCATTTTCTTAGTCATAAGATTCAAAATGAGTTCATGTGTTGCTTAGCCTCAAAAGTCAAAAAAACAATAATTAAAAAAATTAAAGAGGCAAAGTATTTTTCGGTAATTCTTGATTGTACACCGGATGCAAGTCACAAAGAACAAATGACTCTTATAATAAGATGTGTAGACATGTCAAATTCTCCAATTAAAATTGAAGAATATTTTTTAGAGTTTTTGAATGTTGAAGATACAACTGGTTTGGGACTTTTCAATGAATTGCAAGTTATTTTACAATCTTTAGAACTTGATATTGATAATGTGAGGGGGCAAGGCTATGATAATGGCTCTAATATGAAAGGTAAACATCAAGGTGTGCAAAAAAGATTGCTTGATATTAATTCTAGAGCATTTTATATTCCATGTGGTTCTCATTGTCTCAATTTAGTTGTTTGTGATATAGCAAATTCTTGTGTTAGAGCAAAATCATTTTTTGGAGCATGTCAATGCATATACAACGTATTTGCTAATTCTACAAAGAGATGAAATGTTTTGCTTGAGTATGTTGATGAATTAACTTTGAAATCACTGTCTACAACAAGATGGGAAAGTCATATTGAATCTGTAAAAGCAATAAAAACTCAAGCCTCTAAAATTAGAGAAGCTTTGTTTAAGTTGGTAGAAATCAGTGAGGATGCGAAATTAAGTAGAGATGCCGAAACTTTAGCATCCGGTGAACTTTCAAGTTTCGAATTTATTTTAAGTTTGGTGATTTGGCATGATATTTTGCATAAAATTAACTTAGTCAGCAAAAAATTACAATCCGAGGACATGCGTCTTGACATTGCTGTAAAACAATTGGCCGGACTTCTTTCATTTTTTGAATTATATAGAGAAAACGGGTTTGCTTCTGCCATAATTGAGGCAAAAAACATAGCTTACGAACTAGAAGTTGAACCTCTTTTTCATGAGAAACGTAAAATTTGTAGAAAAAGAAACTTCGATGAGGTTTCTAATAATGAAAGAGAAAATCAATCTGCCGAAGAATCTTTTAGAATTGATTATTTTCTTTTTATTGTAGATATTGCTATAGGTCAATTGAAGAGCAGGTTTGAACAATTGCAATACTTTGAATCTATATTTGGTTTCTTATTTGATGTTACGAAATTGATTTCATTGGATGATGGTGATTTGATGAATGCTTGTGTGAAACTTGAAAATGCTTTGAAACATGGTGATGCTTCTTATATTGATGCAAAATGTTTATGTTCAGAATTAGAAGTGTTACGAGTGATGTTACCGAATGAATCATGTGATAGAAGTAAGCCATGGGCCGCTATTCAAATATTAGAGTTTGTAAAAAAGATGGATATGTTTCCACATGTCATGATTGCTTATAGAATATTGTTGACGATACCCGTAACTGTAGCATCTGCCGAGAGAAGCTTTTTAAAATTGAAATTATTAAAATCCTACTTGCGTACCACAATGACCCAAGGTAGAATGAATGCGTTAGCAATTTTATCTATTGAAAAAGATATGTTGGAAAATATTCAATATGATGATATCATTGATGATTTTGCCTCTAAATGTGCAACTCGAAGACATCTTCTATGATTCATC